AGTACAAGCAGCAGGCTAGGGGGGTGGAGTGCACTCAGACCAAATCAAGTATGGAGGAGGAGCTGGGAATGCGCACCAGGGACAGATGGTAGACCGGAGGTGGGATGGCCAGTGGTGGAGCAGCCACTCTCGGTTGCTGTTCTGCTGGGTGACCCCATGATGTTTTCAAGACCGTTGCTTTGGGCATAGCAGTCCCAGTTTTCCTTGGTGGATGCTTGTGCTGACCCTGCTAACTTACTGGCTGGAACAGGCAATTGGCTCCATTAATTAATTTAATGTAATTAATTAAATTAGCTGCCGTGCCCCATTTTGGTTCCCCCCATGAAAAAATGTCCAGCTACGGTGCTGGGCTTCACCTTCCCCCCACCACCACATATGGCTTTCCTAACCTGAAATGACACTGGATGGCACTGGATTACTCTTTTTAATAATTACTGGATTACTCTTTTTAGTTCCCCTCCTCAGCGGGGAGGGTGGGATATAAGTCAAATAAATAACAACAACAAATTAAAGCTTTGACTCAAAGGGTACTAAAATGTATCCTCTTTTTCTTTCTGCATTTAAGATCTTGATGCATTTTGAAGTGAAGCCAGCACAAGAAGGACATGCTGTGAAACCCATGACACGCACCCTCTTGGTACCCGAGAAGGAGATCAGTCTCCAGTTTCTGAGCCGCTAATGGGGGCTTGAAGCAGAACTACTGACCTGAGCATCCCCAACAAGACACGAAAGAACACAAGGCCAAGAGGGGAAATTGCCTAGTAGGCTGGAGTGAAGCTGATTTTCTGAATGTCTTGGCTGGACACTCAGAGACTGACTGGAGCAGAATCTGTGACAAGGAGAAGAGTTCAACCTTGTTCCACTGACCACAATGTGCTCAAGGAGTAACCAAGGTTGTCTGTAACATGTTACACTGTCATAGGTCTCAAAAGTGAGGTCTGTGGCCTGCTTTGCTAAAGAGGACACCTTCAGTGCCAGAGCTTTTCCACTGTAGAGGGCTCACATATACCTGAAGTATAAGAGCAATGCCAGGAAGAGCAAGATGTTCTGAGCACATGTGCTCTCTTGGTTGGTTCCCAGGACTTACCAGAATCAGATTCAAGACTGAGACTATTGGAATTGTGTGCACTTGCATACTACACCGAAGCTGTAAATGTGAAAGCAAGTGTGAATTCACATATGTATTTTCAACACTCCATTGAGTCATGACTTGCAAAATCCACTTCAGCTGAGGTGGTCCTCTCTTTTAGCTGTGAGTTAGTGAACGGCATTTTGCAGGGATCTCCAATGTGGTGCCCAACATTGTGTGTTTCCTGGTTCCCACTTGATTCATCCCCCCCCCCCAAATACCTCTTTTCTAAAGCAAACAGCTAATCTTGTTTTTCTTCCACCTCACTGGAGCAGATGGTGCTTCAAAAGACCATGGGCAGCATCAGCTGTAGGTCCACCAGAAGTGCCCATGTGGAAATAATTATTCCCATCATAGGAGGATGCTTAGCTTGAAACTTCCCACTGTTTTGTGTCAGCCATTTTGTGATTCCCTCCTGTGTCAGACATTTTGTGGTTGGCTCTGCCTTCCATGGCAGCCATTTTGTCTAAGTGCCTATTACCCTTTCCCCAAAATTCCAAAAGTGCCAATAAAGTTGGGGAGTCCTAAGGATGCCAACTTTTAGAACTGGTCCCTCGAGCGGTCCCTTTAATACCACTTTTATCTGCAAGTGATTGTCAGCTGATGTGATTTGCCTCCATGCCATGGAAAGCTCCAAGTGCTCATTTTTGCACCTTAGATGTCTGTTAAAGGGACAGGATATTTTTTTTCCTGGCCAGCTGGCAACCTTATTGAGGACCCCTGGCATGCTGGATGCAAAATCAGGCAGGGTTACCAGATGTCCTTTTTGTGTATGTGTCTATTCTCTTTTGAGCTTTTTAAAAAAACTGATGAAAATGTCCTCTTCTTGGGTTAGGAGACTGAGCCTGTTTTGTCCTATAGTTCCCCAGTGGAGGCAAGCTTCAGCTTAAACAGTAGGGGTATTTAAAATGAGATTTGTCATAGTGATCAGTTGTCTGAAGTAGTCAGTCGGGAAATAAGTCCTCTTTTTTGTTTTTAAAAACATGGTAACCCTAACATCAGGGAATGTCAACATGCCCTTTTCTGTGATTATTATTATTTTGTTGATAGAGCCCTCCTCACTTGTTATGTACAGGAAAAAAGTAAACATGTCTGGAAGCCTTACATGTCCTCAGTCAGGTGGAGAAAGCCTGGTGAAATGCCAAACTTCGTCTCCTATCTTGTGCTTGAAACAAGAACTGGCTCAGTATCGCAGTCCTCAGCATCTCTAGCAAAAGATTATCCAATAACAGAAATCTTTCTGTACTTGACTACAGCCTCTGCTAGTCAAAGCAGAGACAAAACTGAGGCAGGGGACTTGGTATAAGGGGACGTCATATATTAGTATTAGAAAACAAGCAAACACAAATGATTCAAAGTTGGGTTAGATATACCCTGTCTGAGAATGTACAATTACTCTTTTTCATATATATGTATATGCCAAGTTTTTATTATTAATATTATGGTAATAATCATTCATATTTAATACATATTTATACTTATGTAGCCTATAATTTATAAAAGTTCTTCCTGCAAGGTGGCAGAAGCTGTTAAAATGATTAATTATTTTTTTCAAAGTACATTACGCTTTTCTGTATTTGAAACAGCTGCTACAATCAGAAACGTTCACTTACTGCCGTTTCTTTGGTGCTATGTTAAAATGTTATTTATTGCCTTTGAATAATAAATACAAACTATTTTTTACTAAAAAAAAAAGTAAGGAAACCTGGCTCATTTGTCTGCGATATTGGGACTGAAACCAGAGAAGGAACTGTGGGTGGGTGACCTTTCTGCACTACAAACTTAAAACTGATTTAAAAATCTTCCCAAGGGAACTCTGGAATTACAGTTCAGTGAGGGGAAGCTAGAAGAATTGCAGTGCAGTCCTAAACAGGGTTACACCCTTCTAATCTTATTGAATTAGAAGAGTATAACTCTGTTTAGGATTGCTGACCTAAGAGAATTCCTGGCACTCTAACTAGGCAACAACTCCTAGATTTCTTTAGCAGAAGCCATGATAGTTGAACTGATATGAAAAAGAACACAGTTTGAATCAAATGGCACCTTCAAGACCAACAAAGTTTTATTCCGGGCACAGAGCTTTTTTTGTAGAAAAAGCACAGTAGGAACTCATTAGCATAACAGGCCACACCCAACAGAAAAAACTCATTAACATATTAAGCCACACCCCTGACAGCACAGGACATTATCATATTAGGCCACACCCCATGTTGCCAGAAGTCTGGTCATCCAGCCACACCCACCTTTTGCTTCTTATTCTGTTTACCTTGTTTGTTGTCAAAACCCAGGGCTTTTTTTTGTAGCAGGAACTTCTTTGCATGTTAGGCCACACATCCCTAATGTAGCCAATCCTAATGAGTTTCTGCTATTGGGTGTGGCCTGTTATGCTAATGAGTTCCTGCTGGGTGTGGCCAACTCAGGAGCCAGCCGGAACTCCGTTCCTGTGCGTTCCCGCCCAAAAATAGCCCTGTCCAGGCATAAGTCTTCGTGTGCATGATGCACATGAAAGCTTATACCCAGAGTAAAAGGTGCCACTAGACTCAAACTTTGTTTGGCTGCTTCAGACCAACATGGCTACCCACCTGAATCTATCTTCAGGATATGAAACAGAGAGAGATTTTGTAAATAGCCCCCACTTGGGCATACGCTATTGTTACAATTAATCATTGGGCCAGCGTGTTAAAGTGTCTTCCACATTATTTTTTAAATTATATTTTATCCCACCCTTCCTCCAAGGAATTTGTGATGGCATACATAGTTCCCCCCTATTTTATCCTCACAACAGCCCTGTGAAATAGCCTTTTGTCCACCAAGTGGTCTCTCAGATCCAATCAGGTATGCTTCTTGACGGAACTTTCCAGAAAATGTCAACATGTGCTCCTAGTTCCCCCTCTTCCATCTGGTTACACAACGGATCTCCAGGCCCCACCTGGAGAACGCCAAGCCTACAGGATAGAAAAATGTAAAACAAATAAATAAGTACAAGATGACATGTATGCTGCTTCTACACCTAGGTGATTCTTCTGTGTTTTTTTCTCATTTCTCTGTGCTTTCCCCTTGATGTCTGCTATCCCCTGCCTCCCCTCATCGATGGCCTTTTAAAAATTATTGGAAGGTAGTTAGGGTTGCCAGGTCTGGGTTGGAAAATACCTGGAGACTCTGGGGGTGGATCCAGGAGAGGGCGGGGTTTGGGGAGGGGAGGGGCCTCAGCAGGATACAATGCCACGGAGTCCACCCTTCAAAGCAGCCATTTTCTCCGGGGGAACTGATCTCTGTCAGCTGGAGATCAGTTGTAAAAGTGGGGGATCTCCAGGCCCCACCTGGAGGCTGGCAAGCCTATAGCCCTGACCTGAATGGGCCAGGAGCCCTGACTTGATTGGGCCAGGCTAGCCCCATCTCATCCCCATCTCATCAGATCTCGGAAGCTTAGCAGGGCCACCCTTAGTTATTATTTGTATGGGGGACCACCAAGGAAGTCTAGGGTCATGATGCAGAGGCAGGCAATGGCAAATCGTGTCTAAATGTCTCTTGCCTTGAAAACCCAGCCTATGGGGGTCACCATGACCATTTCCGCAATAGTGAAACCCCCCACACTGACATTTTTAAAACTGCACGTTCTGTGACATTTTCCACAGAAGATGTTTCCTCACCGGGGACAAACCCGAAGCATTCTCCTTCTTACCCCACATTTTCAGAACTCACCAAAACTGGGGATTTTGAAAATGCAGGATAACAAGGAGAAAACTCTGGGTTTGTGCCTGGTGAGGAAAGATCTACTGTGGAAAATGCCACATAACTTGCAGTTTTAAAAAAGTCAATGTGGGGAATTTCACTATTACGGAAATAAGTTCGCTGCCAGCTTGACAGTGCTTTCCACCACCACCATACTGTTATGTAGCAATATATGTACTACCAATAATTTTTAAAAAAAACATCAAAAAGCCCACCAGTGGTGTTGGTGGAAAATGGTGAGCCTAAGGTGGGGGAATGACATGAAGATATGGGCAGGAGGTGTGGAAATCTGCACCTTCCTATCCACACGTTCCTAACCCAGTTGGGATACAATCTTCCTGTGAAGATCATTCCCATGCAGGTTTGAGAATCCACACAGTGAAGCTACAGAAGATACATAAGGTGAGCAAAGTCCAAATTAAAACCGCTGCAATTTGCAGGGAGAACCATTGTCATTAATTCAATTAATGTTTACCTGTTTACCTGCTTTTGACTGGTATAGAAAATCAGTATTGTTCTTGTGCCTGCTGGCTGTTTCTTCCCACTTTCCCACTGGCTGCTCACTTCACACTGTCTGTCTGTGAATGCCATCTGCATACACAAAACATGTCCATACCAGAATCTTGCGTTACTGTAACAAACCACCCACTTTCTCTCCCCTTTATCCCATCTGGGCAAGAGCTACACTGTGGGTGCGTTCAGACGCGCCGTTTCAGCCGGCATAAACTGCTCCGGTTGGAACCGTTGCGGTTTATGCCGGCTGAAACGCGATCACACTTACCTCCTGTCTGTGGATCCCATCGCTGTATGCCCGTTCACATGCAGTGGGCGTCGGTGTGTTTTTTTTTAACTCAGTTTGAGCATGCGCATAGGCAG